ACTCAAAGGATATGGACACCAGTTGGATGAGCTCTCTTCTTCCCTAAGTGTCTCGAGGAGCCTTCTGTCACTGCAGTCCCTGCAGGGAGAGGTGCAGCTGAGAAATGCAATTTTCCAGGAAGCAGAGGGAGGAGGTGTTGGCTTCGTGCACAGAGGGATCATAATCCCTAGGCTGTCCTAATGAAAGCAACAGCCCAAAAGGTGATTTGAGGCTTCCTCAGAAGCAGAGCAGGCTCAGCACCTTGTCTCTGCTCCCTGGAGCAGAGCAGGATTGGGCCATAGCACTGCTGCTGCTTGGGGATTGCTCTGATGGAATCTGGTATAAAGCAGCTCAAAACGGATCCTGCTTGGGATCCTCGAGTTGCTACTAGCAGCTGTTTCTGCAGGGGAAAAAACCTTATACATTACTTCAGCCTGCTAGGAAATCATCTCAGCTAAGCTGTCTGGAGAGCTCAAACATATCCCCATGCTTCCACTGTGGCAAGAAGCCCTTAAAGAATCCTGAAGTGTGTTTTGTCAGCACTTGAAGTTGAGATTACATCATCTTGTAATATATGTCTATAAAATCAAGGCATAGCAGCCTTCCCTTTCAGAACTGCTGTGTGCTGCTTTGAAGGAGACTTGAGCACTGCATCTGCTGGTCAGAGTGTAGTACTGCCTCCTTCCCCTGCTGCTTCAATTGCCTGTAGTAGCCTTTTCTAGCACAGGAAGTTTATATTATCTTTTCCAATTGAAACTTTATTAATGTTGAGTAAGGAGCTGGACTTTAGATACTTTGTCTTATGTAGTTACTTGAGCACTTGGAATTTAGGGACCTAAAATGATAACAAACTGGACTGCGTAATGCTTCAATATTACATGCTATTTTTCATTTAGAATATATTTCCATATGATTCAGTTTAATCAAGATGCCATTGTTTACTCCTTCTGTGTTTCTAGTAGTATGTTTTGCAATTTTTTGGGGAAGAAAAGGTCACAAATAGAATTGGCTCAAATTCTGCAGTGGCTTTAGGTTGCTTCTGGTTTTGACCAAGTCTAAATATTTCTTATCCTCCAAAAATGTCACTTCTGGAAGTGGGGATGCTTTGCTGGGGGTAGTGCCAGCTCAGGCAGGAATGGTGGTGTTTTGTTATCAATTTTCAGAGGCTGCAGTGCCAGGTGCTGGAGCTGCCAGTGAGCTGAGAGCCTTCAACCCCCCTGTCAGCTCCCACCTTGCCCTCCATAAACACCTCCAGCCACTTCAGCCTTGCTCAGCTCCTCAGGGGAACCATTTCAGCCCAAAACAGAATCCTTGTAAATCACAAATTAAAAGTGTTTTACAAGCCTGTGCACCAAGTGGGGAAGGTGCACACAGGGTCCATTGTTCTCATGTGGCTGTAACCGAAGCCAGAAAGGGCAAGAAAAGGGGACTGAGGCCACAGAAAGGTCCCAAAGGAGGAGCCCCCAGCTGGGCACCAACATGACCATGAGCCTGGCAGCTTGCTGGCTGATGGCTGCAGCTGCATTCAGCTCTTGGAAGCCTTTGTGAATTCAGAGGCATGGGAGGAGGCCCCAAGAGCATCCAGGAGCCAGCAAATATTCAGATCCCTGCTCAGTGAGCAGAGGCTGCTGATGGCAGGGCAGGGGAGAGGATCAGCTCCCCCCGGGCAGGGCAGGGTCCGGGTGCAGGGGAGCAGAGGGGGAGCGAGGGGAGGAGGCAGCAGGGCACCTGGAGGGGTCAGAGGGGCTGTCTCCCAGCTTTGAAGGATGGGGCTGTTTGTCAGGGAGTAACAAATCACTGTGAGACCCAGAGGCAAAGGGAAAATGTCCTGAGGATCTGCTCCAGTGGCATTTGTGAACTGAAAGCTGGAGATGTTGAGATAGCAGCTGGGCTGCTGTCACCCTGTGGACAGAGATCCTGCACTCTGCAATTTAAATTAAGCTGTCATGGATCTCAAGATGTTTGTGCTTTCATCCTGGCCCACCAAAATTCTGTCTACTTGATTTTTTTCTTTCAAGAATGCAGGCAAGACGAAGGGAGAAATAGCCCTTACATTTAACATAATTGTAGTATTTATATTTGAGGGAACAATTTGAAATAGTTTTAATGTTTAGCTGTAAAAATGGCTTTAATATTTTAGATGGGCTTTAATCCATCCTCCTAAGTCTTTCCTTTTTCCCCCAGGTTAAACTTGAACTTTGTAAGCACTGATGATATGAAAAGATATAATTAAATAAATGTATCTAAAGAAATTAGGTGCATTAGGATTCTGCCAAGCTTTGTGTGGGGCTTACCTCTCTTACGTCTTATTTGGTGTTATATCTGGGCTCTCTTCCAAAGCTTTGCATGCCTTGCATGGCTTTCTTGGCACACTGAAGCTGCATCCCAGTGTACACTGCTCCTGGATGTACCCACAGGGGTTGAATGGGTGATTCCCCATGCCAGAGGCTGTGCCCAGCTGTGGTGGGAACATCTGAGAAGACAAGGAGGTGCAGCATCAAGTTGTAATTAAGTTCCAACTTTCAGAGCTGATGCGAACGTCACATTTAAAACCAGAGCAGAGTGAGGCAGGTTTGGAGGTTTTTATCAGCAGCTGGTGGTGCTGGGCTGCCTTGGAGGTTTTTATCAGCAGCTGGTGGTGCTGCCTGCCTGTGATCTTGCTGCTGGAGAGATGCAAGATCTTGCTGTGTTTACAGCAAGCAGTGACTTTTCTGTCACCTTGGAGGCTCTCAGCTGGGGGCTGCACTGCCCACTGGGAAGGGTCTTTGTTAGGAGTTGTGCTGGGAGAGGTGTGACCTGCAGTTCCTGGAAACGCTCAGTGGTCACAGCCTCAGCTCAGGACTTTCATTGACCTTATTTCACTAAAGATGTTTTTTTTTGGTTGTTACTGCCCTTTGTCCTTCCCCTGCTCTGTCACTACCAAAACTGTGCAGCAGTACAGAGAGAACTGGGCACTTGGCCCATTTCTCAGAAGCAAGAGGAGATGAGTGAAGAGCTCTGTATTCTGTCCGTGAGGAGAGTGAGGTCATGGTGATGGTGACGGTGCTTTGTGTTGGAGAGTTCATTATTAATTGTGTTATCTCGACTTTCACGCTGTCTTTGTGATGTACCAAATGATCACCCTTTAGCAATGCAAAGCACTCCATCTCTGGGTTACAGAATACCTCTGGGTTCTGGTTTTCATTAAATTTGTTCTGCTGTGTGTGTGCACAGCATTCCTTTCCCCTTAACATAGGCTTTTAAGCAAGCCAGGCCATAAAAATATTTACATTTTTCTATAGCGTTTGGTCTGTACACAGTCAAACAAGCATGGCACTGACTAAGAAGTTGTGGGACTGGGATGCAGTGGGAATGTGGCATCCTAAACTGCAACAGGCTGGCTTGCCTTACTCCCATCCCTGCACTGAGGAGACAATCTCACACAGAAATGTCTCTGGGGCCATCAAACTCCTTTACAGGCGCCAGAAAGAGGCACTGTGTTGTGCCTATCTAGACATAACTCCAAGCAGCAGATTGTTAACATTATTTTACTCATAGGGAAAGCTTTTCTGTGTTTTAAAGAAAGATCTGGTGTTTGTTCAAGACAAGTTTGATGCATTTGAAACCCCATAGATAGCAAGGAGAGTATAGTAGATGCCCTCAGCGCTGCTTAAGGCTTTTGGTTAGAGGTGTCTTCTCTCCTGAGTCAGTCTTGATCCCTCACCTACTCCTCTGCACACTGCTGACACCAGCTCTGTGATTGATGATGCAGGATCTGGGTTTTGGGGCTTATCTTGCAGAACAAAGGTTTCTTCCATGTTTCTTGTTCCCTGTTCTTTGTACCCCTGTGCATGGCAGCTGGGGCAAGAGAGCTGGAGAGGACTTTTGACAAGGGTGATAGGAGAGAATGGCTTTAAACTGGCAGAGGGCGGGGTTAGGTCAGATATTAGAGGGAAATTCCTTACTCAGAGGGCGGTGAGGCACTGGAACAGCTTGCCCAGAGAAGCTGTGGATTCCCCATCCCTGGAACTGTTCAAGGACAGTTGGAATGGGGCTTTAGCCACCTGGCTGAGTGGGAGGTGTCCCTGCCTGTGGGACGGGGTTGGAACTGGGTGAGCTTTAAGGTCCCTTCCAACCCAAACCATTCTGTGACTCAAGTGAGCTCAGGGACCAACCAGGCTGGGGCAGGACAGAGCCCAGGACAGGTGCTCCAGCCCTCAGCATGGGGAGTGCTTGGTGATGCAGAGGTTTGCTGGAACTTCCTGGATCCAGGTATCCCAGTTCCACTGAAATTCAGTGTGATTCTTACTCTAGGCACTCTGTCACATGTCCCATGCTGTTACAAGTGAGCCTTAAAGTACAGAGACTTTCAGCATGCCTGGCCACCTTGCTCCTGGTCAATGAAAGGTAGCAGCTTTGGCATGTTTGAAAGTCCCACTAAACATTTAGTGCAACCCTCCTTAGCCAAACCCCCCATTCAGGCTGCCTTTCCTTTTGGCTGTACTGGAATAGCCCTGGAGATGGAGGGAACAGAAATGCAGGAATCAGGCCCCTTGACTGTCCTGAAAGACAATTTTTCCAGATTTTAAGGCAATTAGCTGTCTTCCTCTGTTATGAGAAAAAATCTTGGACTGGATTTATATAAATGGATGTATTTTTATATGAATATATGTATCTTATTGGGGTTAAGCACGGTACACACTACACTGTCTGATGTATCCACTGAAAAGTCAAGAAACAGTTTCTGTAAGAGCCACAATGTATTTCCCTGTTGTAGTGGGTGGATGTATGAATATGATTTTATGTATCCTTTCACATATAAATGTCTGCATAAATACAAAATATGGCTCTGTATCTATCATTCTATGACTCTCATCTGTCATTTCTCTATGGACTGTATGTATGATCTATCTCTAGATAGATCTAGATATCTATCTGTCTGTCTATCTTAGTTTAACCCTATATTCATCTTGGAGATATCATAGCAAAGTGTGTGTGGTTTTTACAGCAATATTTCTTTTTGCTTTGACACATGAATAAGCTTTGCAGGATGATGCTCTGAGGAGTGCACTGAAGAGCTGTGAAGAGCTGGGAGGTGGCAGGTACAGGAGTGCCACACCTGAACTGCTCCTGCCTTCCCTGGAACATCCCCCTGAAGCTAACATTTATGGTAAATACTTCCTGCTGATGGCATTATTGCAGGAAATACTAAATGGATCTGATGTTGAATACTTACAGTCTTACCTTTCCTGATAACTCTATGTTAATGTAACATTAATTATTCCTGACTTACAATGCTGTTGAATGTTGATAAAGGCTGAATTGCTACTTGAAATGCTGATCCTGACAGTCTTGTGGCAGGCACTAAAATGTGCTTTCCCAGTCTTAGGGGAAAAAAAGGGAATACATTACTACTCTGATTATAGCACTTCAGAGGAAACATATTCCAGTCACATCTCGTGGAGTGCTCACCTGAATCCCTCTTGCCTTCAGTAGCCAGTGCCTTTGCACAGGACATAAAAGGAATATACATTTCCCTTTTCTTTATTTAAAATTTTATAGCAATTGCTGGTGTGGGTTTAGTTCAGTGTGTGTGAACAGATCCCTGCAAGAAGAATGCTGTGTGTCCATGGAGCAGTGGGCATTTCCTTCACTAACAGCTGGCACATGGGAGTAAAAACTTGTGGAGCAAGCAGAGAGAGACCAATTCCCCCTGGTATCACCTTTCCTGCAATTTTGAATCTGAGTTTTTTGCCTCCAAACTCTGTCAATCTGCCGATTCTGCCTCCACTGTTTATCTCTGGGGTAACACTGCCATTTTCGTGGTATAAAGAACATGGGAAGTGTAGCAAAGTTGAGGACTGGCAGGACTGGGAAACCACAGGGATTAATTTCCAATGAACCCATCATCTGTGTTCAGCTCTTGTCCTCCAAAATCCTCTCCTCCTCAGTGCTGTAGGAGGAAATAACCTCCATCCCTCCCCAAAGTCCCCACCTGTGTGGCAGGGGAAGGGCTGAGGAAGGGAGGAGAAATGCTTATAAAGTGGGATTTTGAGGAACCTTCTTCCACTGTCCTGAACAAGCAACTACTTGTGGCCTTCACTGTAGGAAAAAAAATGTTCCATCTCTCAGAGGGTGTTTGAGGTTGCTATTTGTTTGTTTATTTAAAAAGAAAGCATCTGGCATTTGTGTGCAAACATTAATGAGTCATTTAAAATAGACTCAGCACTGCACTTGTGAGGCTGGGATCTTCCAGCTAGAAGAGAAGAGATGAGAGGGAGCTGGCACACCCTGAAGGACTGCTTTCCAAGGATGAGGAGGGGACACAAATTTAATTTTTACCTTCCTCCTTTTCCCACCTCACCATGCCTCCCAGGGGCACTTCCAGCCTTCTAAAACCCTTTGGTGAGCACTTTGAAACCAGAGCTAAAATGGGTTTCTTTAGGCTGCTGTGCCCTCTGTGGAGAGCCCAGCACATGGCTGTGGGTCTCTCCAAGGAAAGCAGTTTATTTCTGGCACTGCCCAGGGCCACAAATAGACCTGCTGGTGGGGAGGGACAAGTGTGGGTTGGTCTGGCTCTGTCCTTTCTGCAGTGTCAGCTGGCAGCTGGAACCACTCGAGTCCATCAAAATTCAGAGATGTATGAGAGGAGTGAGGCTCTAAGAAAACTCAGCTGTGTTCTCAGAGGTTCCTGAGCAGCACAGCAGGTGAGGAAGCCCTGGCTGGAGAAATATTTGATTCCAGCAGTGTTCCAGCAGATGGGGATCCATTGCAATGCTGGGGCTACAGGAACCTCTGGAGTTTCTTTACAGGAGGAAATTTCCCAGTATAAATAAAACATTTAAATCTCCAGCAGTGTAACACTCAGAGAATTCCAGTTTTGGGAGAAAGAAACCTTCTTGCTTTAGATTTATCTCTGGGAAGGAGCTGTAATCTAAATCTCCCAACAGGAAAAGGTACTCTTGTGTCAGGTTACACTTCCACCATCTGTTCTATCACGGGCAGCATGATGATGCTGTGCTGGTGTGCCAAGTATTTTCCTTCTGTAAAGCCTACACACTCCAAGATTATTGGAAAGAAGCTACTGCATCATATACAAGTACTTGATTTTGTTTCCTGCTTGGTTTTGTCTATTTGTGCTTCTCAGGCCTTTACTGTAGAGAGGAAAACAACTGAACCATCTCCAGCACCTGGGATATGTTTGTGAAATGGAGAGTTCTGTGTGATCCAAGCACCTGCTGAAATCCCCCATGCACCCAGAGAGATGCTCTCTTGTGTTCCTCCCCTCTGTCATAGTGAACTCATTCATCTTCTGAATTGCTTTTCATAGATGGCTGCTGAATCATGCACAGAAACTCCCATGGAAGGGAGAGCAAAGGCTTCCTCAGGCAGTGCTCAGCAGTGAAGGGTGGCCAAATGCACATTCCTGGCTGCTGCTGCAGAGAAGCCTCAGGATATACAGGTCCAACACCCATGGAAGTAGTTTGTATTTGAGAAAAAGCTATAATTTTCGAAATTTATTTTAGATAGGTATAGCTTAATTCCTTTTGCCTTTGGAAGTAGCTGTGCCTCTGTGTGTACAACAGCTTTACTTTGTCAAACTGTACCAGCTCCAGAGGCTCTTAGTGCTGCACCAGCGTCCATAAACCCTCACAGCTTCCATGTGGAGATGAACCCTTGATGTCCCTGCATCCCATGGGGGTGTCACTTCCTGTGGACAGCTGGGCCCAGGCTCTTGAGATGTAAAAGTATATTTCAGTCTGTCAGGCTCTTTTGCAGAAGTGATGCAGCTGGTTTGTCTGCTGAGGTGGAGCTTGGATGCCTCCCAAAGATTGCTCTGATGTTTGGTCACCATCCCACAGGCTTTGCAAGGAAGGTCACTTCATTTTGAGCAGATTCTTCAAACTCCTGAATACTGCATGCTCTAGAGTCCTGTGTGGATGGAAGGTTAGAGGTGAACCACATAAAAATGGATATGAAGGAGAGAGTAGGCACCTTTCATGGTTAAATGAATTGGAAACCAGGATCTCAAACAGGGACAATGCTGCAGGGAAGAATTTTGGTGATCCTCTCTTTTAGTGCTGCTTGTGAGGTTGAAAAAGGACCCCTGCTTTCACAAGAGAGAGCCGATATCCAGGACTAGAAATGTGAGTGGTGAGTGAAGGAGGGGAAGGACAGGTGAAGTGGTTGCTGAAGGAATCACAAAACATCGAGGAGTGTCTGCAGAGGGGCTGAGCTTCTGTACCCAGGCTAGTGCAGTAATTAATCCTTTGTGATCCTGACAGATGCCTGCAGAGAAGCAGAAACAAAAGATCGTGGTCTGACAGTGATTAATGCATCATTAGTTGTCAGATTAAGACTTTTGGAAGTGGGTAGATAAGCCCTAGGCCAGGGAAAACTGCAGAGGCTGACAGTGTGGGGGGAGCTGGGCTTCAGCACTTACTTACCACAGGCACTTACTGTGCTTTCTCTGAAACCAAGCTGTTAACAGGACAGGAGGAGAAATGCCTGTGCAATTTATCGAAAAAAGCTCTGTCTCGAGCGTGGGTTAATACTGAAAAAGTTACAAAAGCCAGAGTCAACCCCAGCCTGTGTTACCCTGGCATCTTTGCAGGGTAGGGAAGAGGCTGCAGCTCATTGCTGTCATCCAGGATGCTGTAGCATCCCTGTGAAGGAGGGAAACGCAGCTCCTGCTGTCTGTGCTCATGGCTGGGACGCTGCAGGGGCTGTTGGGGAGCTCCTGGTGCCCCACAGGATGGGCTGCAGAGAGGATGGGAGCTGCTGGGGGCAGCACAGGGGTGTTCCCAGGGACAGCCCAGCCTCTCCTGCTGCTGCAGCAAAAGGGATTGCCTGGGGGACTGTGGTGCTCCTGCTGCAGCTCCCTGGCTGGTTCCTGCTGGGGATGGGGACAGCACTGCCCACCCTGCTGCCAGAGCACGGCAGTGCTCACCTGAGAGCTGGAGGGAGATGTTTGGATGGGAGCAGCTCTGAGCACACCTGGAAGCAGCTTCAGAGTGTCCAGTGACTCAAAACAGGAGTCAGCGGGCAAGTTCAGGCACCTCCAGGGCTAGGCAGCAGCAGAGTGGGAATATGGAGCTCCCAGATCGCAGTTTCCAACCAGGGTGCCCAAATTCTGCCAAAATCTTTCATAAGGTGCCTATGGTACTTGCCTGTGTTTTATTGTAACAGCAGCAGCCTTTAATCTCTGTGGTTAATGCTGTCCTGCTCTAAGTAGGGGTTACTTCTGCTGAACCCTGTTTTGCAAAGAGTGCTGCTTATCCCTGTGTGAATGTTCCTGCAGACAATCACAATATTTAATGTACAGCATGGCTCTGTGGCTCTGCCTAATTCTCACACCGATTTCCAAGCTTCTCAATGTGTAGATTTTTGTCAGTTTTTGGAATAGGGATTTGCTGAGGAGCAAATCTCCAAAAAGGGCTGGAGAAAGAGCATGGCTGTAAGCCCTGCTTAGCCTTGGTTAGCTTGGCATGAACAGGGCAGGGGCTGAACACATCCCTTCACCTCGAGTGCCCTGCACAGGACCATCACTGAAGTGTTAATTATAGTCACACACGGCTGTCCTGTGTTTGCCCATTTTCCTCTGGGTGTCTGAAAGGAAGTGCTTTAATCCTTTCAGTTCTTCCTATGAAAAGCTGTTGACACCCTGTGTCTGTCCCATGGGGGTGATGGGTGTCACAGTCTGATCCTGCTGTTCCCTGTGCACCAGGGGCTCTCTGGAGTCTGTTCCAGCTCTCTTCCAGCCTCAGCTCCCAGTTTCAGTTCTAAAGTGTTTTATTTTGTTTGCCGGATGTTTCCTCTTGTTTTCCCATTGTCATTCACTGTGAGGAGAACTGCCTCATTTCTTCTCCAGAGTAACACAAAGCAAAAGAGCCTTCCCACATCCTCCTAGGCAGGGCTTATTGTCTGTAGGGGCATCCAGCCTGCAGCACCAAGGAGCTGCTCAAGACCTTCCAGAAGTGAGCTCCCTTCCCTGAGAATGTGGAGCTGTATGCTTGGGCTGGTGTAGCTCCACTGATGTTGGTCCAGCTTATACTAACCAAAAATGTGGCTTAAAGTAAGTGAATCACTCTGCTGGAATGTAGCCAGCTCCAGAGCGCACCTGTCCCATGGGATCGCTGAGAAGTGAAAGTTGCTTCCACCCTTTTTGACTGGTAAGCCACAAACAAGCCACAAATCTGCCATGGAAGAAAGGCTGCAGTGCCATGTGTGAGTCCCTTTGCCCTCTGTAAAATGTCACCGGTCTTGGAGAGAGGTAGAGATGGTCCCGTTATTTATAGGTCCCATTATTTATACAACTCCATAAATGAACTCACACATCCATCTTTTGTCTTTATATTTTTTTATTTTTTGAAATTTTCTGATTTCTCTGGGGGGAGCCCGAATTGCTGGTGCCAAGAGGCTTCTTGCAGTTAGGGGTAGGGCTCCAAACTCCACACCAAAAGGAATAAAGAAATGGAGCAAGATGGAGACAGACTACCAGGCACTGTGAGCCTGGGGTTTCCCTGGGGTTGCCCATGTGTGAAATCACAGGATTTTTGCAAGGGGAAAGGCATCAGCAGCCGTGCTGGCTGATGGAGCAGGAGCGAGCACTGCCAGCCCTACAAAGCTGCGTCCTGGAGAGAGCTGCTGGGCTCAGAGAGTGGAGTTTATTAACTCCAGATTTTTACAGTGAGGCTGGCATGCCAACAATAGGGTCTGAACACAAAGGATCCCTTGCAGATATAAATCAGGGGAAGGCATCTCCAAAGGCTCCTGCCAGCCTGAGTCACACAGCCCCAGTGCCAAGTGCCAGCTGCTGAGTGGCAGCGGGCTCGCAGCTGAGTCACAGCTCAGGGGGCATCGCTGATGTCCTGATCAGCAAACCCACTGAGAATGTGCTGTGCTGACTGCAGGGCACAGGTGTCCCAAACAGAGGGCTTGTCTCTCACTGGTGGATAAAGGGAGCCTGGGGGGCAGCTGGTCAGTCTCCAGAGGAAAAGGAGGTGAGTTATAGGTTCTGTGGTGGCTCAGTTGAGGAGAGGCTTTAGGGAATAGCTGAAGGATTTGCACCTGATGAAGGAAGTAGGGCAATAGCTATGACTGCCCCAACTTTATAACCCTCCACCTGCTTAGAGGTGTTTAGAAACATCTTTAATGTGCCATTTTGTCTGCAGGAACAGAGGGAAAGGTTATCTCCTACTGTGCTTGATACAGCTCCTCAGCTGGAAAGAAGCATCCCTGGAGCTGAGCCAGTGCAGAACACATGTGTGTGCACCCTTTGTGTGTGCTGGCACAGCATCAGCCTTCCTGAGGGAAGGATGGGAGCCTGAGCCTCCCCTCCTGTAGCTGCAGTGGACTCACACTCACCCAGCTGGCTGGCAGCTTAAAACCCTCCTAGCCCTGCTGGGATAGGGACCCTTCCCTTTGTACAACATCCTTAAGAAAGGTTTAGTAGAGGGCTGGGTACATTAGGAACAGCTGTCAGGATGGGGAAAACAGCAAACAACCCTCTTGTGCTCCTCCTGTGCATTGTAATGTCTCTCACCCCTTGGCTCCCCTTCAAATGCTGGTGGAGTTCACTGACAAGTGAAAGGTTTCTAGGAGATAAATGAGTAATTGGTCCTTTTTGTTGGGTTTGTTTGGGTTTTTGTGTGTTTGTTTGTTTGATTACAGGGGAAAGACCGTATTTGGGGCCTGATGCTAGGTCAGAATTGGAACTGGAACTTTAAATACAAAGCCCCAAAAGCTCCTGTAGGCTGGTCTCTCAGCCTTGTACTCAGGTCTAAGACACCTGAGCACTGAAAAATTTTCTTGCTGATGCTGAACACACTGGGGAATGTGTTTTGCTGTTCAAATCTGTCCTGAACTCGCTAGTTTTCATGTCCTTTTAAATAACTGATCATCTTGAACCTTCCCATTTTGTTTGGAGTATAAACTTTTCATGGGGATGCTTTTCTGTTTGCACCCAGCCAGCAGATCTTGATGTTAATCTTTGATTGGACCTTGTTGGTATTTCTGCAGAGTAAATAAATTTATCATATGTATCCAGAATTAAAATTCAGGTGAGAGCAGCTTGTGTGGCTGCAGGGATGAGCATTGCAGAGACAGGCAGAATAAAGTTCAGTTATTTTTCTTTCCTTTTTGTGCTGCAGGACAAATCTTCCCCAAAAATGGAGGCTTTACCACATGTTTTGTATAACCAGCCAAATGAAATATTATGTTTGTTAGCATTCTGGGTCAGAGAAATAACTCAGGCTCTGGGCTTAGCATTTTTTCTTCCTCACAGTGGCTTCTGCTGAATGATAATCTTTAAAACTATGCATGTGGGGGGTCAGATCCTGACCCCCATTGCATCTGCTCTGCACTGCTGCAAAAACTGCCCAGCAAGAACAAAGTGAGCTGAGTTGGTTGCTGCAAGCACTGGAAACTTTTCTGCTCTGGAGCAAGGGAAAATCAAGCTGGAGTGGGCTGGAGTTATTCACAGAGCTCAATGTGTTGAGTAACCCAGTAGTTTTCTTTGAAGACTCTGAGTAGCTTGGTTTATACATCTTCTATTTTCACTGTTTAAAACTGATATTTTGTTTTAACAATAATTCAGTCTTGGCCAGTTTATTTATTAAAAAAGTCTGCATTGAGTTTATCCATAACTATCCACTTCTGGAATTCTAATTTTGCCTATTCTCCATTTTCTCACAACTTGACAGTAGTCTGAGCTTTCCTCAGAGGGATGGATCAATGGATCATGGTACAGAGAACAAGGAGGAAGTTTCAGTTTTCATTGCAATATAATATCAAAAAGCATCAATTTTTGTGGGGGGAGTATTTTGGTTTTGTTTTCCATTGAAACTTTTGCTTTGCTTGTGTTTTTCTGTTTTTAAACCAGCAAGAGGATTTCAGGGGCTCCATTTGCATGTTTATCCTTAGGAATGATGATGCTGGGATCCTGTTGAATACTGCAGGACAGCTGCTCCAAACAGCACTGCATTTTCCCTGATCATTCCAAAGTCCTTCTTTTTCTACCCCACTGGGGCTGCCCTGTGTGCCAGGCAACTGCAGACCTGGCAGGCAGTGTGGGCACCAGGGATGCCCACTGCTAGAGGAAAGTCCCGGGGAAGGAGGGTAAAAGCACAGGCACTTTCTAGCTGCACCTTTAGCCAGGGCTTTGCTGTTTTGCCACTAGTAATGGAATTGTATTTTTTTTTAAATCCCCCTTTTCTCACAGGTTCCCACAAGGATGCATGCTGTTCCCCAGTGGTTCTATGAATGCTGCTGTGCACCCCACCCAAAGCCCCACTGAGGAGGGTCCCTGCTGATATGGGGGACCATGGCTTCACCTCCTGTGCTCCTGAGCACTTTCTGCTGCTGACTTTGCTTCTCTACCTGCTGTTTATAGTAAGCACTCATCACAGATGTAAGCTCATTAATCAGCCCAAGCCATGCTTCCCTGATTCCATTTATAGCTCTGTTCCCTCTCTATTCCTTTTCACAGCCCCCACCTTAGTCACCGCTCAATTCTTGGACTCTGGGCTTTGCTTTTATTTAAGCTTGGAATGGATAAAGCATGAAAAAAGAGGGAAATTTGGAAAGGCAGACTAATATGACAACAAAGTGTATGTAGGATACATTTAGTGTTAGACTACTTGGTCTAAAGTGTATTGGCAGAAGACTGGCAGCAAAGCTATTGCATTAAGTGAAATAGAGACCATTTACCCTCAGAGGTTAACAAGCACAGGACAGACAAACAGGAGCCCTGTCACCCTCTTGGGATTTCTTGTGTCCTGCCAGCAGCCCAGATTGCTTTACTGCCCTTAGCACTGGTCAGTCCAGTGCTGACCTTGGCCACCAGCCTGGCTGGGAGTCCCATGGGCAGCCCACAGGAGGAGGGGAAGGGTCATGAAATGTAAAACTCTCTGCAGAGGTATTTGGGTGCTCAAACATGCAGAGAGGCACTTCTTGGCCTTTCAAAAGTGTGGTGGATTGAGCACCTCCTCCTTCTCCACTGAGCTTGGTGTCTGCAGAGCTGTTCCTCTCACTCTCCTCTTCTCTGGCTGCAGTTATGTCTGCCCAGTAGCTAGTCTTCTTCCTTCTCACAAATGCTGCCACAGAGGCATTACTGTCACTCTCGATTGTCCCAGCTTTGGCCAGCAGCAGGTCTCTTATGGAGTTGGCTGGCATTGGCCCTGTTGGATGTGGGGGAAGCTTCCAGCAGCTTCCTGCAGAAACCACCCCTGCAGACCCCCATCCTATCAGCACCTTGCCATGCAAACCAAATACACTAAGGTCTCTGGGGGATTGGAGGGAGAGAGGAGGAAAATTCCCATTTGGGAAACCTCATGGGGCACCTCTCTTCATGTCTAGGTTTCTAAACACCTTGGCAAATCTGCTTCAAAGTAGTTCTTACTTTTGTTGAGCAGTTTCTGCCTGCCCAAGGCTGGGAGCAGAGTCTCAGCAGAGTGCTCCTGGCTGTGTGAAGCTGCTGCCCTGCCACTGCAGTGTGAGGGTTGTACAGATCCCTGTATGGGATGGCAAATGACTCCTCCAGCAGCATGTTCTGGCTGACATGGGTTTGCAGTAGGTATGTCAACAGCAGCTGGAGAGAGCTCTGGTCCTGGAAAACAATGTGTCAGCTGCCTGGGTTGGGCTGAATTCTTTAATGCTTTGTCTGAACCTAAAGTGTAACAATATTGCTTTGGGATGAGCTGTGCTGCCACAGTGCTGCAGTCCTGCTGGCTTGGAGCAGGGACCTGCCTGTCCAGGCCCAGGAGGGGCTGCCAAAGATGGACTGGCTTGCAGTGCTGGTCAAAAGCTGCACAGACCTGCAAGTCTCTTGTTTTTATATAATTTTGTCAGTCTCTTTCCACATCTGAATTTTAAACATCCGTTATAAGGCAATGCTGCTTTAGTGGTGAGCCAAGTTTCTCTTCTAAAACATGTTCCCATAAGCCTTCGTCCTTTATTGCCTTTGTTCTGATTTATTGCCCTTGCCTTACCACATGTGTGAAGCACAGTTGAGGAAAAAACTACCAAACCCAATAAAGCAGTCCTCTCTTCCCTCTTCCTAGCCCACATGCATCAGGATTAACACCCTGAATAATTTACATCAAGTGATTCAACAGTGAACTAACTTCTCTCCAATTTCTTACCTGCTTTCATGTAAATATGCTGATGAAGAGGATGTTGATAATGTGAGGATTATAGTAAACCCAGAAAAAACTACTATGGACTACTGAAAAAATGGGGTAGACAGTAAATCTAGAGAATGGTAGTGACATTAAAAAATAAAAATTGTTGACTTCCTTTTCTAAATAGACATTTTGTGGATATAAATTTTTATGTGACTCTTATCAATAGAACTAAAAGGGCCTAATTTGTAAAAAACTCTCTCCCACAAAAAAACTTTTTGGTATCCCAGGGTAAGCATCAAGCACCTGAGGCATATAATTGCTAGTAAAAAAAAAAATAAAAAACAACTGTGGAAAACAAAAATAAAAAAATTTGTGAAGCTTTTGTGGCTCTATGAGATAGAAAAGTTCTGTTGAAGTTTTTGTTTGGGATGCTCTTGATGGGAAGCTTGTTGTCATTCAGGCCTGTTATCTGTATTAGTTAACAAATGAGAGCATTCAAAAGCCTGCTCAGAGGCATATTTGTCTTCTTTTTCTTTCTTGTTTTCCTTTTCAATATTTTTCGTCCTTTCTAAATGGAAACCAACTTTCCTAGCAGAATGTTTTACAGAATCTGCTTCCTTGAAACCAAAATGAGGCAACAGCTGTGCTTGCAGCAAGTTGCAACATCTCCTTGCTGGATGGAGGCACGTCTTGTCACAAGTGGTGCTGGTAGCAAAACCTCAGTGAAAGAACCTGCCTGCCTGGGGGTGTTCACTCCTCTGAGGTGAGCTGGAGACACAATTTCACTTGGTTTTTTTGAAGAAAGAGCTGACTCCACCCAAGGTCAATGAAACTTTAGTAAATCTAGATGAAATCCTAATATGAAATGATCAGACTGCTGCTTTGATGAAATCAGAGCACAAGTGTTGTAAAATATGCATCACTGAGCATCTTTAAAATAATAAGGCAATGACTTTAGACTGCTTTGAGGTCCAACTGAGCCATGCTTAAATAGTGCACTTGGTACCAAAGTCCAGTAAATTGTTTGTATTCATATGTCTTGTGTGGTTCTTGGAAGCTTTCTGAATGTGCAAACTCTGTTTTGTTTAGGGGAAAAAAGGCAAACCATGCTTGCCTGCTTGAAAAGTGCTTGTGAGAAGATCTTTCTCAGAAAGACTTAACAGCCTTGGGCCCTTTTTTGTTTTCTTAGAAAACAGGAAATGAATTTTAGTTCTGCAGTTGATTTCTTAAGTGACTTGCTTTCTACGATCACTTCTGGGTCCTGGAATGCTGCAAAAATTATCTGAGGGCATTTTCAACACTTCAAAATTAAAATCAAATTGCTTGAAATTGTGCCAGCATTTTAATGAAAATTATTTTCTTTAAACAAACACTTGAGGACTTTCAATATTTTTTTAATCACAAGAGTGTTCTTAACCTAAACACCTTTTCTTTGTGGTTTTTCAAGGACCCTGTCTGCAGTGCTACAACCAGATGTGTCTTAGGATGCAATCAAATTCAAGATCTGCTCAGCTGAAAACTAGAAGAGCGAGGAACACTCATTTTCACACAGCACAAAATTGTAAGTAGGTGTGACTGCAAGCACCATCTCTGCCTCTGTGCCCACAGAAGTGTCTGGGCAGAAATACCAGCAGGGCTTTTGCTGCATGGGGAAGGTCAGGCACAGGGTGAGCAATGGGGCCTGTGCAGCTCCCAGGTTGCCCTCAGTCCATCCACAAATGCTTTTAACAAGTGCTGTCACTCCTTTGCTGAGAAGGACACGTGTAAGCAAAAGTGACCATGCAGCACATGGGATCCCAAGGCTTCCATGTGTTTCTCCAACATATTATATTTTCTGATATTCACTGGGAGATTAACCAAATGAGAGCAGGCTGCCTACAAGATAAATTCCTTAATAAAAATGCAACATCCCTAACTTTCATGACCTTTTCATGCATCATAGGTAAACTCTTTAAAGAGCTGGTTGCAAGGGAAACCTTCTAACTCCTTAAGATCTCCCCACATGTAACCATTACAGTTACAACATTTTGACCTAGAGATGCTACCAAAAAAAAAAAAAAAAAAAAAGCTACATAAAACCCTTTCAGCCCTATGGACACGGCAGCCCTTCACATCATGGCACCAGGATATTCTTCTTTGACACATATTGCCATATATTCTGAAGATAAATGCTGTTACCCTCAGCTTGCTTCTGCTTCGCTATCCAGGCTGGCTGGGGCTGGAACTGCAGAGATGTCAGTGCAGATAGGGCCTCCCAGAGGCTTATGCTGGCTGGGAAAAAGATGTGGAATGTGTCCAAATAAGAAGAGTCTGGAAGGAGTTTGTGATGGTCTGTTATTTCACTATTAGCTAGGAGATGTGAAATTTCCTTTTCCGGATGAGCACATTTCGTGTTTTGCATAAGAAAGCAATTGCTTCTTGTAAGACTTAGCATTTCTGCTAATTTAATGAGCTATCCATACAAATGGACTGCATTAGTCATTGGAAAGACCTTTTTCAAGTTCCACAAGCATGTTTTAGACCTCCTGATAAAGCCAGTAGCACGCTGGACTTTCACAAGCAGAAAGACCTCCCAAAGTATGCAAGTTATTCCTGGCATGTTGTATTCTCAACATGTCAAGGAAACATGGATTATTTTTACACAAACAGGCAAATCAAAATGGTTCCTTAGCAAGCTCCCATGAACATTCTTGGACACTGAGAAGGAAAAGAATAAAGAAAAGTAAGAAAAATAATTGCTTCTGAATTAGGTTTCTTAGATGAATGTGTTGTCACACATTCAGAAGTTCATTTGCACAAGTTTGGACCTCTGATGAATGGTGGAGAGAGTGAAGGATAAAACAGAAAGAACAAACAAGGACCATTAATTAATCTGGATATTTTATACTTAAGTGTATTTTTTTTCCATACTGTGAATTTATCTTTAAATGTAGACTGTGATGAACTGCAAACACTTATGGAAGTTCTTTTAATAGTTATTGATTGAAAGGTGATGTGAAGGTGTTGAGAGGGAAAGGATCTCTGGAGCTGAGCAGGCCAGTATGGAAGGACACGCCAACATCTTGCTGGGAAACCACAAAGCAGCACAGCAGCAAAACCCCTGGAGTGTCCTCAGTTCTCCTGACACTGCAGCACACAAATTCGGCCTTAGGTCTCGCAAACATTGGAGCTGTTTTGAAACTCCCTGTGAAGGATTACAAATGCTGACTGCAGTTTCTAGACAAAGACAATAAGATATCACAGCTCTGGCCCCAGCTCTGTGTTTTATGTCTGAGCTCATATTACCATGTAGGGTCCCTATGCATTAAATTGCCTCAGCCAAAACCCAGTTCTGACACCTACCAAATAATCCTGTGATTTACCATAATCCTGTGGTTATGGTAAGACAATATAAAGTACTGCCTGACCTCAGCACTTTTCCCATTTCAGTGTAAAGAACTATTTTTTCCACAGAGCGAAGGGATTTTTAACAGAAAAGAGGTGTAAAGCATGCATAAACAGTGACACTTAATGTGCACCCTCATGCATAGTTCCTTCTGTGAGTAGTGTGTTCACTGGTTCCATGCTCTTGTTCAAATTCAGGAACAGCTCCTGCTGCTTGGGCTTGGTGTAGACTCAGCCAGCTGCCTTGAGCTTCATCCTGGCCCAACTACTGTCATTAATGCAATGGTACCAATAACTATCAATAATCATACCTTCACTCAGTGGGAGGATGGTTTTATTGCAAGTACTTTATCCCAGGAAAAACAAAAAAAGGGGAAGAGGGGACTTTTGTGCAGCCAAAACCTGCAGCAAGTGGGTGCTGTTGGGTTTGGTGCCGTGCAGGGTTGGGAGCTGGACCCTGTGGGTCCCTTCCAGCTCAGCTCATCCTGGGACCTGTCAATGGCTCCTCACTGTGAGGTGCATTGTGTCTGCAGGAAATCAAAGTTCACACTGCCTTCTCTGTTTTCCTTCTATTTTTCTAACCTTGCACCTCAAATTTGCCCTCTCTCCTCTGACAGGCCTCAAGAAGAAGCTTTGAATGTGGTGCCAGCACAGCAGCACTGCCAGCAGTGAGAGAAAATAAGACAAGTACCTCCAAGCTGTAATAAATACTGCTGTTATTGCCTATTGTTCATCTGAATCTCTACTCCTGAGAACTTGAGTTAAATCCCAAATTTTCCTTTTATTTTTAGGCAGAATATCCAGCAAGTTAAAAAACCAGTATCACAAGAAGGTCCTAAGATGGGGCTTGCTCCAGTTTTCCTGCTGAGCATGTGTTTAGGAATTGCTGCTAAAAAAAAGTCAGAGAGGATGGTAGTTGCTGTGCTGTCACATGGCCTGATACAGCACAGAATCTGCTTAGCATTCTTGAAGGGAAATTATCCAGTGCTGCAACTCACAATTTATAATTGGTTGCATATTAATAGCTAAAAAAGGCAATAAAATCCACTGTGTGTTTAAAAAAAAAAAAAAAAGTATTACAAACTGAGCAGTGAAAATCTGGAAGACTTCTTGGCTAGAGCAGGGCTGTGTGCAGTGTTGTTTCTCCTGTATTAATTACAAGCAATTTAAAATCATCTTCTTCCTTCAAGGAAGGGTTTTGTTCAGCGTTTTTGTTAATTTTAATCTTGCTAATGTGATACTCTCTTGGAACCTCTGCCTTGTGTCATAACAGTGAGACATGCTGCCTCTTTTGTCCCTGCCCTTTGGGAAACACAGTTACTGCTGCTCATTGCCTAACCCTGCTGTCGTGACTATCAGTACACCTCCCTTGAAAGGGAAAGAAACTAAAACTCAGCAGCAGAATTGTTCTTCCCCCCCCCCCCCCCCGCCCCGAGTTCACTTTTATTTGTAATATTTAAGCTAGACTGTGTGAGTGCCTCAAGAAAATTGGGGGTTTAAAATATATGGTGCTGTATTAGAGTGGAAAGCTTGTTATTCAGCACACTAATTATTTCTGAGTCACTGTATTTATGAAATGTCATGTAATAACTACTTCACCACCACAAAAAATAAATAGTGCAAAAGCAGACACTTTATGATTTTGACATTTCAGTGGATAAACATATTCCTGAATCTCTCTGGGGGCTACTGGGAATCTGATAATGTTTTTATGACATCTAAAAAAATGACATTGAATTTCATAATCTGTAACACTCCATATATATTTTTAGTATTGAGCATTTTATTACAGCCTCAGTGGCTTATATTGCAAGTGTCAGCTGCAAAGGGAAAACGTACAAAGGTGGGGTTGTGGAACTGGGGGGGCACAAGAGGGTAAAGTCTTGCAGTGCACACCTCAAAGCCCGTGGACTAGCTGTAATGGCAGATCCCAGGCCATGCTGAGACACCAGAATTCCCCTGCAGCTTTTTTCATTTCAGGATGGATTACGAAGCCCTTGCTGTAGGAGGTCTCCTGCTCACACTTATCACTAGAGGGTAAGTAAGTCTGGGGTTTTGTCAAGCCCTGTGTGAATGACTTGTTAAATCCAGAGTGACTGGGACACCCTGAGTGACACTCTAGGAGTGAGTACAGAGGGGAAGGAGGATGGATTGCTTCCCCAGGAGGGCTTCTGAGTAGTCCTGCATGGTCCCTGAGAACAATGGGGGGATGCTTACCAGAATATGTGACTTCAGAAAATGCTGTGCCTGAACCCAGGCCTCTTGTGCTCCTCTGCAAAGTTTGCTTGGTGTTACTAAGGTTGTGGGTGATTTACTTGAATGCTGGGAGAAGTGTCTTTTGACATAAGTTATCCAGCACCCTTCCTCACCAAGGGATGAGGAAGCAGTCACAGCTTCAAATTGTCACTGAAAATGACAGTGAGAAATGAAGCCATCGCTGCTGGTGGATGATGGGATCAGTCCTTCCCTTCCTGACACAGTGCAGGACAGCAGCCTCTTGCCAGGGCTACCAAACTGCTCCACATGTACATGAGTACAGAACAGGCCCCTGGAACCGTGGGGGATCTGGCTGGGTCCAGCTTCCTCTGAATCCTCTGATTCCTTCCCCCTCAGAGAAATCCCCAGAGCCCTCCCTTGGAGAGACTTATCATAGAGTTCCCCCCACTGGGCGGGCAGAAAGGTCTTTCCTCACGGACTTTTACTGAACCGGGATCCATCCCAGTTCCTTTCCCCACATGTCTCAACTTTCCCTGCTTCCTCACTGGTTGTGGTACCCCTGGTGACCAGCCTCTTCTTCCCTGAAAGCCGATGCCCTTTGCCCTGCCCTGGGTACTGCCCCCGTGCCCTCCCTGCTTAACCTTGTGCAGAGCACATGCTCTGCCTTTTGTCTCTGGTTCCCCTTCAGCGTGCTCAAAGAAGCCTCGCTGGAACTGACCATAGAAAAGGCCCTTCTGCCTCTCTTCGCTGAGCTTGCCACGGTGAGTGTGGACTTCACTGCCTTCCTGAATGCTTACCCAAGTGGCTTTTCCACAGGAGATTCTTTTTTGGGAAATAGGTAGCAGCAACCACCATCTAAACCCCCACGCTGCTACAGCTTCCTCTGAATTTACAGCAGTTGGCAGACTGAGGTGACACATCCTCTCCTCAGTGCTTTCTTTGCTTGTTGGCATTAAAAAATTACAAGGAATGTGGAGTGTGATCTACCATACATTTTTCTGTAAGTGGTGAAATGATTTACCCTTTCCACATTAGGACAGACTGGCTATCCTAATAAAATCAGCCCCCTGAGCTGGTAGACAGGGGCTGGGAACAGAAAAAAAACCCTGTAATATAGGTAGGTGGATAGTAACCTGCTGTGCCACTTAGATGCTCACAAGTCATTGGGCAGAATGGGATTCACCTGAAGGTACTGAGGGGGCTGCTGGAAGGGTTCACCAGGGCACTCCCCATCATTCACCATCAGTCCTGGCTGACCACAGAGGTCCCAGGTGACTGGAGGTTGGTCAGTGTGACACCCATCCACAGGAGGGGTTGGAAGGAGGATCTGGGGAGCTCCAGGCCTGTCAGCCTGACCTCAGTGCCTGGGAAGGTAATGGAGCAGATCTTCAGTGTGATCACAGGGACACACAGGACAGCCAGGGATCAAGGACAGCCAGGATGGGTTTTAGGAAAGGCAGGTCCTGCCTGACCAGCCTGATCTCCTTCTATGACCAGCGGTAAGTGCCTTGTTGAACACAGTAACCAGTGAGCAGACGTGGCACTCAGTGCTGTGGTCTGCCTGACAAAGTGGTGATTGGTCAAAGGTTGAACTTGATGATCTTGGAGGTCTTTTCCAACCTCAATTATTCTACGAGTCTGTGATGTGATGTTGTATTTCTTTTCTGACTTTTCCATAAATACAAGCAGCTATTAAGAATGTCTCTGACTGTTATATCCAAGGATAAGTGTTTGAGATACATGAGAGATACTCAGGGAATTGGTAAGCCTTCAGTAGAAAAAATGTCCTGAGATCAATTTCCTGATTCAATAGTGAAGTTGTCATATCATATAAAATGTAATGTGATTGTCCATAGCCCTAATAAAATCTTGACTTTTCCACCAAGCTTTCATCTATAAAAATCAAATTTATGTGGCACTCATCTGCATTTTGAAAGGGATAGGGATTTTTTGAAATAGATGTGATAGTAATCCTTTATGGTACGTTAATATAGGAGAACAATAATTTGCTGCATTTTCTTCACACAGAAACAATCAGCTTGGAAATGTGCATAATAATTGTCTTTGTCCTTCATTGTCACAGGCCATTAGCTAATGAATTTAAGCTGTGCTTGGCTCTTGCTCCAATAAGAAAACTACATTAGAGATCTTGTAGCCTTGGTATTATATAAAACCTTTCAGTGGGTTTTATTTTAGTCTCACTGAGGTGATGCTGCCATGGGCTGAGGAATGCATCTCGATTTTGTGGTGAGCAGTGAGGTCAGCATGGACTGATGTAGTGGGTCAAGCAAGCTGAAGGGCATCTACAGTTATTGCAGCTGCCAGGTGCCAGACCCTCTTTGCTTGGTTCCTTATACTTTAGCCAAACTTTTCATGCCTGCTCTTGTGACAGCTTCTGGTTCATCTTTTGGCTGGGATAATTTGCTCAACTCATTCCAGCAGTACCAAGATTCATGCTAGGGAAAATAAGTAGTTTGGGCAATGCTTTAAATAAACAACAGGCTCACATTTAGTTGCTCAGTTTTACTGCTTATACAGTTTGCCCTCTCAACAAAGAGGCTGGCAAAGGAAAACCCTGTGATGGAAGAAGTGATCTTCACTGGCCTGAGCAAATGGGAGCTGTTGCTGCTGCACTGGGCACCAGGATCTGCAGGCCAGCAGAGGGGTGCAGTGGGATTGCTCTTTGGGATGCCAGCTGCTGCAGCCTCCCAAGAGGCACTCCTGCTGCCCAGGCATACTGGGACACGCCAGTCCCCCAGTGACTCTCCTTGTCCCCAGCTTGACACAGCTGGGAAGTGACAACCCTCTTCCTGCTGCTTCATGTGTCATTGCCTACTCGCAGGAAAGAAATAACCCATGAGTTGGGTTGGGTTGCTGCCACCTTTGGGCTGCCAGAATGGTGTGCAGAACAGCAGGAGCATAAGGCAAAATCCTTACCACTGTCATTTGTGTTTGACATCTTATCAGAAAAAAGGACCTGAAACTTCTGGGCATTGCTTTGTATCTGAGCTTTTAGCCCATGGATGGATGTCTTGAAAGGAGAATGGATGGTGAGTGTGTGGTGCACATCTTCTGGAGACAGTCTGAGTAGAACATTGTTCTGCAGCATCATTCTGCTGTTCAGGGATTATTGCCTCTGCACAAGCTGCGACACCACAGCAGTCAAGGGCTGGCTGTGGCAAAACATCGTCAAGTCTTGCTGTGTCCTGCAGAGAGAGATGGCCCCAGGCAGCTGGCAGTGCTGGGTACTTCACCTGCAAAGTCATGTGAGAAATGGATTGGGATTGCCACTCCTGTTAACAGGCACCCTTTGCTCCCTTACCTCTCTTCATCTCCAAACCCAGACTCTGGGCTTTCCACGGCCTGCAGCCCTGCATTTGGCTCTCCCATCTGCCTCCTCGGGCAAATGTTTTGGTGGATAGTGCAGGAGATGTTGGAATGCTGTGCCCCAAGCCATGGTGTAAAATGAGGATTGCTGGTGGCAGAAGCAGTGGCTGGAAAGCTCTGGTGCTCCGAGGTGTGCAGGGGGCAGGTGCCAGGTAGCAGCGATCACCCATTTTCCTAAACTGACAGCACTTACAGGCCTACTGACAGAGGTTGACTCACACCAGAAGTAAATTCAATATGCATGAAAGGACTCTTGTTCTTCCTCAGTGGAGAGCATAAAGACATACTGTCAGACAAATTAATCTCTCTCTGATAATTTTCTTTTCAACATCATTGAACTGTCATTTCTCCTGGGCTTTGCCAGAATGTTTGATATATCCGTTGTTTTCCAAAACAGACAGATTCTGCTTGCTTGGCGGATACAGGAATTTCTTCCAGGAAGAGAGATGCTGAGATGCCTCTACCAGCCTTGTGCTGTTGTTGTGCAGGTCCTTTGCTGAGCTCTGGAGCTCTAGTTAGGGATGAGAGGAGGGTATCTTGGTGGTTGATTAGGTTGCATCTCTTAGTGCAGCAATGGAATTGTTCCCAGCACTTGACCTGGGCTGGGAGCACATTTGCTGGGGTTTTGGGATTCTACTTTTCTTTACTGGAGAGAAACCCATTTATACCTCCAGATCTTTAACTTCAAAACTAGTAATTCAAGGTTGCCCCAGGCATGAGAATGTCACCTATTTCCACTTAGGAAGTAGCCCCAAATAGAGGTTCTTTTTTTTATCAATTGTCCCTCTATATGGCTGACGAAGC